GTAAACGTCGCGATATACACCGTTCGCCGTTCGCTTTATCGATCCGACGCGACGTGTGACGTGCGTCTCCCGCGTGACGTCACTCGCGAGTCGCGCTAACGTTTTCGTCGAGGCGCGCGCGACGAAAGATTCCAAGTTACGCGACGGCAACTTCAGAGCGGCAGTGGCGCGATAACCTCGATTCGCGAAAGTTGGTTAATTTTACCATCGCGCGCGCGACTAATTCAACGTCCCGGAATCGCCCATCGGTTTAACGCAAATGTCGCAAATGCTTTCGACCCTCGTGTGTACTTATAGTATAGATTATAGTTAATAGTTAATAGTACGCGAGACTCGCACTCGACGCAAAACAATTGCGGAACGATTCTCGCGGCGCCGATGATACTCGGAGTAAATAGTTTAACCGGCCCGACTAGGACGACCACGCGCGTCAAAAGAAGTAACTATAGACACTAGTCAAAACAGAAATATTATATTTGTCCGTTTTTTGCGTACAACAAATTTTTCGAGTATGTAATGCTGCTTGGCTGAGAACTTACTATAGGATTTTTTTTATCCTATAGTAATAAACAGGCTTGAAAATTTGTTGCTCGACAAAAACGAATAAATGTAATATTAATCTAATATATGTTAATCTAATATATGTAATCTAATATATACCGACAAGACATAATAGGTGCGGTTCAAATGCTTCGAAGCACTTGATTAGCTAATAGGAAAAAAAATTTGATTAATATCGTTTTTTACCAATGTAGTTTAATTTTAATCCTTTGATTAAACTAGCTCTTCATTTTTTTCTCTAGTTCTAAGAATTAGAAATAGATGGATAAAGAATAAATTGTAACCAAAATTAAAGTTAATCTACATTCGTAGAAACAGACATAATTAACCAATTTAAAAATTCGTCGAAACATTTGTAGTATTAAGTGGACTAATAATATCCATTTCTACTACTGCAGATTGATTTTAATTTTAATCACAATTTAATTTATTCCTTAACTTTTTCGAACTTTCAGAACTAGAAGGTATGATTCACAATGTTACATTTGTCCGCTTTTACCATACAAATTTTTCAAATGTATTAATTGACTGGAGAACAAATAGGTTCTCAAATAACTCTATCGTATAATTAGGCTTAAAAAATTTGTCGTATGACAAAAACGAACAGTTAACCCAATGCTACAAATGCTTCGAAACATTTGATTAACCAATTGAAAGAGAGAATTTTACTAATTGACCAATCAAAGAACGTTTAAAAGCATTTGTAACATCGAGTAGTTATAGAAAAAAAAAAAGAAGTAAGTTAAACTGAGATTATAGTTAATCTACATTCATAAAATTGCTGATTTATCCAAAATTAATTTCCATTTGATATGTGAACTGAAATACATATATGAAAATTATTCCGTTAAACATATAATTTTTCACATTTTTTAACACGTTACTATTTTAACTGTACTTATTGTATAGAAAAATATTCTATATGTGATTCAAAAAGACAAATATACATAAATTTCTTTATAATAATCTTTATAATATAACTGAATGACCTCTTGTTATATTATAACTTAAAGAATGACTTAAAAATTTTATTTCGATTTAAAGATCGTGGTGACAAAATTGATCCATTGTTCAAGTATCCTTGATAATTAATAAAACAAAGATTTGCTTATTAATAAAATTAAATTTATTCACTGAAGTACAGAAATACTTCAATCACTTGTCACATATTTTGGATTATTTTATCAAAGCGCACAAAGCATAAGTACACATTTAATATTATAAAGGAATTAATCATATTAAACCATTTATAATAATTAATAGATATTATATAATAAATATATTAATCGCACATAAGTGCATGAAATCAATTCGCCGTTATTAATACGAGACATTAGATTTAAAAAAGCGATAAAAACGGTAATATTAGAGCGCGTTCCGTTTTCTGCATAATACGTATTATGTACCCTCTTTTATACTTTTTTTTATATTCGGTGAACAATAAGGATAAAATGATGTATTATGTGCATTATGTGAAACGGAAGGCACTCTCAGTATGTAGCTAAATTAATATACTCATATTTAAAATAGATATTTAATAACTTCTATTTGAAAAATAAGTAATATTACAACTTCAAATATATATATATATATATATATATTTATTATATGTTTGAAATTTAGTCAAAGCAAAAATGTTTTAGACTGCTATTCATAGTCGATTTTTATATTTAAAATTATTAAGTACGGTTTTAATATCGAACCAATCCGAAAGAATATTAATATTTTAAGATATTACCTAAGACAGACTTAAAATAAGGTCTAATTATGAATACCGTCCTTAGGTCAAAATTATTTGATTGGTCAAACTCTAATCTCTAATTTGCAATCCTTAATCTTCAATGCGTAGTGTGACACAGGCTTTACTGTCGTTGAGAATTACAGAATAGGGGACCTAAGGTCGGTATTAGCATCTTAAGACAAGTCTTACTTAAGATCGTCTTAAAATAAGAACCGACTATGAATATCTATAGTGTAATTTAATGCAGCCATAGAGAACAAACCTATTATATGTCGGTGCGTTTATTTGTTTTGATTCGTTTCGTTATTTTCTTGCTCCTGTTTGGTCTATATTTTTGGATCTAACGGAATATGTTTATCAGATGGTGAAGAGCTCAGTGAGTGATTGTCGTTCTGAATGCCCACAATGAAGTTTATAGTCTCTCGGGGCCTCTCTTTCACCAAATTCTGGTTAAATTAATCGACGATCAACTCGTAGAAGTGCCGACAGCAGTTTAATGTATCAGAAACGTCTCCTCTCTCTTCCTCTTCTGAGACAAACTGTGTTTAGTTCTCACGTTGGCAGTCGTGGTGATTGAGTTAACCAGGAGAATAATCGACTATGATTCATCCATTTCTTATGGCTTAAGGCTTAAAACTCTATTGTAAATCCGGAGTTAGATCTACGTACTCTAAGTCCGGATCTACAATAGGTGTTTTATGCCTTATGCCGTAAGAAACTGACCAATTACAGTCGAATCCGAGAAGAATAAGCGACTGTGATTCGCCCATTTCTTATGGCTTAAGGCTTAAAACCCTATTGTAGATCCGGGGTAACGGAAATAGGAGTTTCAACCGGTTGAAATTCGTCTTATTGCGAGTTGGAAAATTTGTTAAATTGCTAGTCAATTTAACTCGTAATATTACTGCGGTAGTTTAATAGAGTTAGCATTTTAAGATTGAAAAATTATTTTACGGCGCGCGTTTTGGAGGACTACACGCGTAATATATAAATTCACATAAGAATCATACAAGCATTAAAATCCAGCCAGACCGTTTAAGCATTGATTTCTATAGTTTGTGTTATCACACATATATGGTTCTATAATATATTATATTAGTTATGGATAAGTTTACTGTGTGTTTTATTTTCATTTCCGTTAGATTATGTAGACCTAAAGCGATATCCTGATTGGCTCATCGGCTTAAGTTTACGTCTTACCGTCACTGTTACCCCGGATCTACAATAGGGTTTTAAGCCTTAAGCCATAAGAAATGGGCGAATCACAGTCGCTTATTCTATTCATCGGCTTAAGTTTACGTCTTACCGTCACTGTTACTCCGGATCTACAATAGGGTTTTAAGCCTTAAGCCATAAGAAATGGGCGAATCACAGTCGCTTATTCTTCTCGGATTCGACTGTAAAGCCCATTCTACAATTGCATAAGTGCAGTTGTAAGAATTGATCGATCACTGCCGAATATGAGAAGAATATTCAACTGTGATTGGTCAATTCTTACAATTACAATCACTTACAACTACGCTTACGTAATTGTAGAATAGGCTTAATTGATCAATTTCTTATGGCTCAACGGCTGTTCTACAATGTGCTTCTTGTTTCCTGTTTCTTGCTGTTTGTCTCTGTTTGTCTCTTGTCTTTTTGATCAAGAAGGCAAGAGACAAACAGCAAGAAACAGAAAACAAAAAGCACATTGTAGAACAGCCATAAGGCTTAAAACACCTATTGTAGATTCGGGGTTACGGAATTTCGTGTGCGGCAGCCCTAAAGCCCATTCTACAAATGCGTAAGTGTAGTTGTAAATAGTTGTAGTTGTAAGAATTGATCAATCACTGTCGAATACAAGAAGAATATTCAACTGTGATTGGTCAATTCTTACAACTACAATCACTTACAACTACGCTTACGTAATTGTAGAATAGGCTTCACGTTCGAACGACGGTTATAATTTGTTTTCGCGTGGCAGGAGCGAAGCCAGTCACGCGCGCGTTATGTTTATTGTCGCTCGCGTCGC